TGTGGCATGTTTTGAATAGACTCCTGTGATAACACTTGGTACTTTGGGAGACTTGGGTAGCATTCGAATACTAGCTATTTTGAATCCTATCCGAATCCTGTATTGGAATCCTACGGAAAGAGACCCGACGTCGGTTGAATCATAAAAAGTATAGTGCAACTTTGTGCTCATTATTATGCTGCTTTGATATTTCAAAAATTCCGAGTGCTTTCCAGAGATATCCGGAAAACCCCGAAATTCGCCAGAAATTATTTTATTTTTCCAATACCGCTTGTCAATAATAGGCAATCATCCTTACGCTTATAATCCTTGGTTTGCGTCAATATCGGCGCTTGTCAATAATGGGCAGTCCTCTCGACGCTTATAATCCTTGGTTTGTGTCAATCAATAGCTGTCTTTCTCTGTTCCTTTACGTTACATCTTTCTTGTCTCTCGAGTAACGAAATTTGCCCGTGACGCGTTTTTCAAATCGCTCTCCATTGTCGTCCAAATAGCAGAACGCCGTTTAAGAAGTTTCTTTTCAAAAATTATTGAAATGGAAATAATCTTGATACAATTTTGGAACATAAATAAAAGTTGTAGGATATGTTAAGTGTGTGCTGGCGCTATTTGACTGTGGGTTTGGGTTGGTGGTCTACAGAGATCAATGGTGGCTTCATCTCTGCCATTCTCAGGAGAATAAAACATAGTTTATACTAAAGCTTATTTTTATTCTCAACAATCATTGCCAATATGGTTAATAGGACTGTGACCATCTAAATTGTAGCAATATTCATAATCATAAAAATGAAATACGTCTTTATCGTCACCCTTGAATATATATATTTTTTTTTTTCAATAGATATTGAGTATTTAAATAGAAACAGATCCCAAATTTCCGCATACTGTTTTCCTCAACCCATGTTATTTGTGGATGACATGATTTAAAAATTCCACCACATTGATTGCAGATGTTCGGCAACTCCCATGACGTTACAGGTTATCCTGGCACTGGCAGATATGAATAGGCTTTTAGAGGGTTATGATCCTATTGATACTTATATTTAGAGCTTAAAGTTGTTGGAACGTCCAGCCTGTAAGAGACATTGTTTAGTATATAACACTGCAATTGAAATGATACACACCGCTTTCTTTTTCCTGGAATTCTGTGAACTTTTTGTTCAGGATGCCTGAAAACCCAAATGACCAAATTTATTTATGAGCAGGGGGTGGTAGTGGCAACCGGTATCTTTCTAGCACTTTACTGAGGCTATTTAGGCCCCTTATAGGCTACTTCCAGTTTCAACTTGAAAGTGGTTGTGTCATATTTTAGTCCTCTATTATGTTATTCCATAGTTACCATGATTTGTTTAAGGAAAAACCAGTTCTAAAACCCCTTCTTCTCGTGTACGTGTACGCATGTTTGCTGAATTCGGTGGGTCTGTTGCTCAAGAATGTGCGAAGTTAGTTTTCTCATATCCTTGCGCTATTTAACTGTTTGCTCTAAATTATATTTTCGCAAACGCATTTTCTGCTATCCTGGTAATTGTGTCATAAAATCATTCAGTCCTCCGTCCGTCCTAATACTGGATAGGTATGCCACAGCTAATTTCAAAACGTGCTTCACGCTAATAGGGTCCTGCTTTGATGAAAGCCGCTATGTTGCAATTCGGTTCTTGAAAGATGTTTTGACAAGACTAACGTCTTCCTCCTGCTTCACCAGGTGTTGGCTCGGTGCTAGAGACACCGAAGATGACCAACCCATTGATTTATCGGTGCCTCCAAATCGCAATACTCACACCACCGGCATGTGGCTGATATTGAAGGTCCTGAAAATAATTGAATTATATTTAAAAAATTCGCTTAATGTCAACTTACCAGCAAAAGTCTAGCTTGCTTCATCATAGGGGCGGCGGGATCTCCAGCCTTTCGTTTGGAGGCTCTCTTGGAGCTGGGTGTTTTGGTGGTGTTGGATAGCCCCCTCTGCTTCAAAAATTCCACCACATTGGTTACAGATCTTGGAAGATGTTTAGCAATCCTCATGATGTTTCAGGTTATCTCCTTCCTGGTGAACCATTTTGTACACAAAATTAAAAATTCGCTGTTTATGGAGGTTTGTTTTAAAGTAAATGAAAAAATAAAACCATTTTAAATTGGTTAAAGAACCTTCCTAAATTTTAGAAAAAGAAATTTGAGTTTTGTGCAAATGTAAGTGAAAAAGTAAATTCAAGTTGCTGCGTAAAAAACTATTGGAATTAAATTAAGAAATAGGTAGGTACTCAGGGTTGTCTGTATTTTTAAAAAACAAACAATATGTTTATGTGTTAAGGAAAATAAAAATAATTCAATAATCGAGGTTTGTGTTAATTTAAAATATGTCTCAGGGCATGATTTATCCTACATCACTTAGATATTTAAAAATAGTACTTACAGTTTTTCGAAACCGACACTTATCGCCCAAAAAACTAAACTTTGAAAATCCAGGTTCAAAGTACTGGTACTGGATGCTGCGTTTTTTGTACAAAGAATAAAAATTGAATCCTCATCTTTTACAGGTAACAATGTATCCACTGAAATTTTGTATTGCATAGGGTATTGGCTCATAAAATGTCAACGATGCTAATTTAAATCTATTCTTTTAAATTTTGATAAATTGTTTGAATTTGTCACCTTTTAAAATAAAAATGGACATATTAATACCTATCTAACTTAGTAATTACACCTTAAACTAAAAAATTATTTTTAAAATGTGTTGTTGTTTTTCTCGGGCGGCTTCTGCGAATGGTCCTGATATAATTCAGATAAAAAAACTGCCGATTAAGCGTTTGCATTTAGCGGTGTTTTTTGTATGTGATACTTCGAAGTTTAAATCGGATTTTATAATAACAAGCTTCTTTCAGTTTGCTCAACCTCGTCACCAGTGGAAAATATAAAATTATTGTACAACAATTAATTTCATTTTAACCAAGTAAGTAAATATCTTATATACTAATATCAATCAACAACAAGACCTGTTTTTTATAGCAAAGGATTGAAAACACTGAGAAAATTACAAGACCTGAAGCCTCATAGAAAGTGAAATTTCCAATATTTTGACAGCGTTTTTTGTATGTTATGTTGTTAATTCGAAGTTTGAATCGGATTTTATAATAATTAAGCTCTTTCAGTCTTGTTTGAGACTCGTCAACAACAATAAAATTATTGCACAACAATTATCATTTTAACCAAGTAAGTGAATATCGATATCGATAGAATTATGGAATATTTTAGATATGGATTTGAAATCAATCAACAAGGCCTGTCTTTTTATAACAAAGGATCAAAAACACTGAGAAAATTATAAGTCCTGGTATAAAGTGAAAGTTCCCAATATTTTCTACGATAGAGACCTCAAAATAATTGCAAATCTTTACTGGAACCAATAAACTATACAAATTAAGGTAGATCATAAAACTATTGCACAGAAATTATTATTTTAACATAGTAAGTAAATATCTTATATACTTAGGTAATCGATACAATTGTGGCATATTTTTAGCTATGGATTTGAAATACTCGTCGAATTTGACGATAACGCAGTGTTGCTCCCAAGACGTACCACCAAAATGATTGGATCATATTAAGCAGTTTATTGATGAAAAATATTCGCTTTTTGAAATCGTTGTCTTAAAAAATGTATGTTTTTAATAAAAAAACGAGGCCTCTTTCCCATCAAACGTTGGTTCCAACCAAGGATAATACACACTACTACTACAGGATAGCCTATCCTCATAAGGCCTGTGTGGAACAAATCCACTCTGTCCCCAACGTTAAATCACCAGTTGTGACGTAAGCAGCATGTTATTTCTCGCCTTGACGTAGGTTGTTTAAACGGCTGATGACTTAGTTATGGCGTCGTAAATGGTAGCACACGAGGTCAATAAGCAATACTGTATGTGTGTATCATCCTTGCTGGATCCTCATAGTTACGTCACCACCACAGTATCCTGTTATAAGGCACATCAAACTTGACACATGTACTCTAAATGGCGCCACGGACGTGACCCAGGTCGCTATGACGTCATCACAGAACCCGAACCATGAATCGAACTTTGCACTATGTACTCTAAATGGCGTCACGGACCCGCACTGACGTAACCCACGTGACCTAGGTCGCTATGACGTCATCACAGAACCCGAACCCTAAATCGAACTTTGCACTATGTACTCTAAATGGCGCCACGAACGTGACCCAGGTCGCTATTACGTCATCACAGAACCTGAACCCTGAATCAAACTTTGCACTATGTACTCTAAATGACTCCACGGACGTGACCCAGGTCGCTATGACGTCATCACAGAACCATAATTTAATATACGTAGCGATTTCGAAACGACTCGGAACAATCCCTTCCACGCAAACTCCATATTACAGGAACCTGTAATTCCCCGAACCATAATTAACTATACGTAGCGATTTCGAAACGACTCGGAACAATCCCTTCCACGCACACTCCATATTACAGGAACCTGTAATTACCTGAACCATAATTACATATACGTAGCGATTTCGAAACGACTCGGAACAATCCCTTCCACGCACACTCCATATTACAGGAACCTGTAATTACCTGAACCATAATTAAATATACGTAGCGATTTCGAAACGACTCGGAACAATCCCTTCCACGCACACTCCATATTACAGGAACCTGTAATTACAAGAATTCACCGCACTCACGACAGATGGCGCCATGAGGTTTGACAAGATGGCGCCGACGACGCATCCACCTTCGTGTCAACGGCGGCGCATCCACCACGTGTCAAGAATGAAAGATTGAGGTTATGGTCGGATTTTTGTAGTCATACCCCCTTTGACTATCTACTGCGTTTGCCTGCAGCCAACATTAGTAAGAGAGGCCCGAGAGAGGGATATTGGTTCCATGACAAAATCTGAGACGAATTATTGATCGTCTTTATAGTGTCTTTTTGCACTGAACTATAACATACAAATTTCTAGAATTTGAAAAATCAAATATACATTCAAATTGAAAATAAGCTTTATTATCCAAAAGATAAAAATAGTCCCGTTGACAAATCAACACTAAAACTATAAAGTCAAGTCATTACACAAAATTAAATTAGACATAAGACAATACTATAATAAGCCTTACCAACTAATCTCCTGCAGACCCTATTCTATTCTTAAACATTTTCAGTGTTGGAGCAACTTTAACCTCATTGGGTAAATGATTGTACCTATATTTTTATACTCTTGTATATTACAGACTTTTCAATTAAAGTTGAGGTAGGTATAGGTAAAGGTAAGTTAGTTTTACCATCAGGACATGCATCGAACATAGTAATAAATATTTTCAGTATTTGCCGGATTTTTAAAAAACGGCTGAATATTTGAAATTTGCGAATCTGCAAGCCTTTACCAATTTTGTTTTTTTGTTGGCTGAAATAGCATTAACCAAAAAATATGCTATTGGCGCTTTCCATCTACATAAAAACTAGAGCATTTTTCTGCTTTTTTCAATGTATGTTCACTTCCACCGCCACCAAAGCCAAAGCCTGTCCAAACCAAAATCTACATAGCCTACTTGTTCACTTCCAAGTTCCACTCAGTTTACATGCTCATGAAGTATGAATAGACATTTCATCCATCATCCATCATCTTTCGCTCTTTTTTTGTTTGCTTTGAACTTCAACTTTTATAGCTTGAATAGCTGTATCTAAATCCTGGCGTACCATCAACAGAACTGTCCCATTCGGAAAGAGTACATGGATTATGGATCATGGATGACTGGGTGAGGTAATGGAGTGTTTCCCAAATATTTTTCGAACATAGTAATAGGCTGATGATAAATGAAAAAGCAATGCTTAAGTATCTACCCTTTTTGATTTTTTTAAATAATTTCTTTTGCTGTTCTACTTTGGGAAAGCTGTCCTATTTACTAAAACATATAATTAAAAAATAAACCAACTACCATTTATTTAGGTAAAGGTTTGGGACATTTTTCCTTTTTCTTCAACTCATTAAGTAACTCCTTAAGGCTTTCAATTTTATTTTTTTGTCTTCTAAGTTGGCACTGGTAGTATTTAGTAAGTTTTTTATGTTTATCGACTGTCTCATGTGCGACCTTCCAGAACCTGGTTCTTTTTACTCTGCAATCCATATCAGATTCATCAAAATCACCAAAAAAAACTGGATCCCTTCTGTTTCTTCTCCTTCAAAAACAAAACAGATATTTTTGCAAAATAAGTATTATATCCAGACTTTACCTTTCATTTGAACTATTTGATATAAATGGAATTTGGAATTCCTTTTCAACTTTTACAGAAACATAAGACGTATCTGATGAGGGCTTATCAGAAGGTTGCTTAGAAGGTCTATCAGAGGAATCGTTAAAATCAACATTCACCATTTTTTCATAATCTATCAACAAAATTAAACAATAATACCTATAAAGTTGTTACCTTCTTTTAAGTACTTAATTAAACTAACCGATTTCCGAGGCTATTTCATTAGCGCTGACTGTTTTTGAACAAAATTGGGATTTCTTCTCAACTTTCAAAGGCACATGAGGCATATGTGATGATGGCTTATCCTCGGGCTTATCAGAGGGTTGCTTAGAAGATGTATCATAGGATTCTTCAAAATCAACATTCATCATTTTTTCATTATCTATTAACAAAATTAAACATATAATAACTATAAAGTTTTTAACTTTTTAGTACTTATAATTAAACTAACCAATTTCTGAGGCCATTTCATTAGCGCTGACTGTTTCTAAAACTTTTGTTTTTTCAATTTTGGTTTGTAAGTGAATAGAAAAATCGAAGACTGAAGGAACAGTCTTGTTTTTGAGCACTTTATTTCCATGTACATTTAATATGTAATCACTTGCTAAAAAGTGCTTTTCGCAAACCAACCCATATTTTGGGGCATAATTCCATCGGTTTAGGGCCTGCAACCATGCCTTTCTTAGCTCAGTATCTTTTGTAGGTATACTGAAATAGTTAATAAATTCCAAGATAAATAACCGTTTTATACATTTAGATAAAATACAGGATGTCCCAACCAAGTGACCTTTTTTAATTGCTTATATCTTTGAAACCAGGTTTGCCAGCTATCTGCAGTTTGCGCCAGTCGAGTTCTCTTGGCCTAAAGTTTTTTAGTAGGTTGCACATTTTTTTCACTTTTATACAGGGCAAGTTAAGAAAAAAAATCCGTTTTTCAAAATCGAAATTCTCTACTATTTTTTATGGAATCCCCTTTATATCACAACGTCGAAAAAAAGACTCATGTTCAAGGTATCCATCGAGGTATCCATGTACCAATAATCATCGTCCTTGAAACTTGAAGCTGTAGCTGTGAAAACAAAAATTCTGGTATTTTAGCAAACGCATGCAACTTCATATTGTAGGTACTTCTATCTATCACGTAACACTTTCGTGTACAATCTAATCTGTTGTGAAAAAATACGGACCATTTTTCATTTCATTTCATTAATCGGAACTGTATATACTGATATATTGGAAAATTTCTTTTATCCACAGTCAAAACAGGAGTGTATCTTGGATGATATCTATTCTCAGCAGGATGGTGCCCCACCTCATTATTCTCCAATAGCAAGGGAATCACTCGATATGACATTTGGGGAAAAATGAATAGGGAAAGCTAGTCTTATAGAATGGATACCTTACTCTCCTGACTTGACCGTTCTAGACTTTTTCCTCTGGGATTATGTCAAGGAGGGTTGCTGTGATCCTTTCCCAAATAGCCTGGAAGTTCTCGAGCCGAACATTCATTGTCATTTAAGCGATTCCCCAGGAAATGTTATGCACAATTGATTCAACCATTTACTGATCTATACTTAAATGCGTGGAACAGAATGGTCTTATATACAACATTTTTATAGTTTTATGCAGTAGGCATAAATAATTTCGGAAGTTTATACTACTCTGTAATTTTTGATCCAATCTCTTCATGTACAGCCCCTTTATGCTTTGCTCTTCTAGAGATTTTAGGTTGTATCTCTCAGGCACAATTTTGTCTTCTTGTTTTTCCATTCCTTTTTTTTTGCGGTGTTTCTGCCTGGGATAAAGATATATGGAGAACCGATAAAGTATGGGACCAATAAACTCTACAAACATTTAACAAAACTATTTCAAACATGCATAGATAAACATGAAGTACCGGAAGAGTGGAAAATAAGCTATTTAACAACGATATATAAAAAAGGAGATAGAAACAAATGCGAGAACCACCGAGGAATTGCAGTAACAAACACACTGAGCAGAGTGTATGGAAAACTCATAAAAGCCAGAATAGAGAACGAGTTCAAAGATAGTGAGGCAGAAGAACAGGCCGGTTTTAGAGCAGGAAGATCAACTGTAGACCATTTATTTAGTTTGACCCAGGTAATAGAAAAGAAACTAGCGTATAACCAAGAGCTCCATTTACTCTTTGTAGATCTAAAGAAAGCATATGACAATGTTCCGCTGAAAAAGCTGTGGGAAGCACTGGAAAGAACCAATATCAATTTAGAACTAATAAAGGCAGTAAAAACCCTCTATAGTGATGCAAAGACTAAGATTAAACAGGGAAACATGATCAGTAAAGGCTTTATAGCAACTAAAGGACTTAAACAGGGATGTTCCATATCACCAACGCTTTTTAAAATATACTTAGAGCAAGCGCTTAAGGGGTGGAAAAACAAATGCAGACACATGGGAATACCGCTCAATGAATACAATTTATATAAGGTATTACACCGGAGTAAGTGGAAATATGGGGCAAGTGGAACCCAGGCCTATTCCGAGGAAGATATTTATTGTAAAGTGGCTCCCTCAGTGGCATACCGACCTATTTATGTTCCTTTATAGCTCTATGGTTTCTTATGCCGGCAGCGCATCATTTACGGTTTGACCTTGGCTGAGTTTGGAATATTGTATGTTTATATCGCATAGCGAGCGAGCACGTGTTTGTTGCGGATGTAAATATTATTATTAAAAACGGAAGTTATATTAAAAGTTTCTGAAGTAAGTATCTTATAAACAATTATTCTTTGTATTTAAAACGTATGAAAAACGTATATTTGTTTTACATTAAGAAACCTACTTGGGTTACACTTTCCCCGTGTAAAAGCAGAAAGGGGAAAATCTAACCTATGTTAGGATCCACTTACCCCAGTTAATCCGACTGATATGATAATGCAAATTTATTTTATTTGTTTTAGACATGGTGCGTAACTATGTTCGGAAAAAGCCGCCACCTAAATACTCTAAAGAGACCCTAAAAGTAGCCATAGAAGAAGTACAAAATCAAATAATGACGGTGTATAAAGCATCAATAACCTATAAGATTCCGAAAGCAACACTTTTCAAGCATGTGAAAGGTCAAAGGGGTGTAAAAAGCTCCACCCACTGCTATTCCTTATGAGGAAGAAAAGAAAATAGCCGAAAACGTCAAGCTTATGGAAAAATGGGGTTTTGGACTTTCTAAAAAAGAAGTTTTGACTCTTATAGGCGGTTATGTGAAGGAAAACAATATTAAGACTTTATTCAAAGATGGAATACCAGGCAACGACTATTTCATAAGATTTAAAAAAACTTTCAACCTTAGCCAGAAAAAACCACAAATGGTGGAAGTAGCAAGAAAAAGAAGTGTAGATCCATTCATTATCAATGATTACTTCACTCTGTTAAAAGATGTTATAAAAGATATTCCTCCTTCAAGGATTTATAATATAGACGAAACAAGTTTTTGCCTAGATCCAAGCAGAATTAAAGTTGTTGGCCAGAAAGGGACAGCTGCTCATAGGGCAACAAGTGGTTCCGGAAGAGAAAACATATCTGTCTTATTAGGTGGAAACTCTGTTGGAGGAAAATTACCACCGCATATTGTTTTCAAAGGGAAGAATGTGTGGGATTCATGGCTTGCAAAAAAGGACGAGGAATATGCAGGAATAACTTATTCGGCCACAAAAAAATGGCTGGATGGAAGCAGAAACTTTTCAAAATTATTTCAAAAACAGTTTTCTTAAAAGCATACCCAAAGATAGACCAGTTGTTCTTATTTACGATGGTCATAGTTCACATGTTGGCATTTCAATCATCCAAATGGCAAGACAAGAAAACATAGTAATTTTAAAGCTTCCTCCACACTCCAGCCACGTTCTTCAACCAATGGACCTCAGTGTGTTCCGGCCTCTAAAAATTAAATGGAAGAAGAACTTGTAGAATGGCAAAGTAAGAACTATGGCAATAAACTTCCAAAATCCATTTTCGCAGCAATAATGTCTAAAATTTGGGAAAACATAGATCTATTGTTCATTAAAAATGGATTTCAGAAAGCAGGAATTTTTCCATATTGCAACGCTGTAATACCTATCGATAGTTACGAACCCCAAGCTTATAAACGGTGGTGCACTTTTCAAGAAAATCAAGCAGCAACACCTGTGGCACCTACAGCTGTGGAAACTATGGATGTGGCACCTACAACTGTGCAACTTACAGACTTAACACCTACAATTGTGGCAGCTACAGCTGTGGAGCCTACAGCTGTGGCACCTACAGCTGTTGAAGTTACAGCTCTGGCACCTACCGTTATGGCACCTACACCTTCCACCACCATAAAAGAAATTCTACCTGCACCATCAACATCCAGGGTAAAAACATTCGAGGAGTTGCTTTTGGAACAAATAAAACAAACTCCAAAAGAGACGTCTGCTAGAAAAAAAATCTGCGGAGGTGCAGAAGTAATCACTTCAGAAGATGCCATAGCTAAGCTCAAGGAAATCCAAAACGAAAAGATAGAAAAAGTCAAAACAAAAAGCAAGAAAAAAATAAGTGAAGATAATATCAGCGAAGATGAGTTAGAAAAATTAGAGAAAATTGAACCGGTGAAAACAGGAAACAAAAAATCAAAGAATAAGACATTTTCAAATGAAGACAGTAGTAGTGATGAGAGTTATGAAGATTTGCAGAGCCTTTCAAGCGATCCTAGTGTGGATGACTTAGAAGAGATGAATGAAGAACTCAATTTCCTAAACCAAATGCAGTTAGACTTATCAAAAATAAATGTTGGTGATTGGATTGTTGTGAAATTCAATCAGAAGAAACTGGTCAAAATGTTCGTTGGTCAATTAACAGAGAAAGAACCGTGTCTAGAGGCAAAATTTTGTCGAAGATATGGTACGACTTCCACATTTTATTGGCCTGTTGTCGAAGATAAAAGTATAATAGAGCAAGAAAATATTTTCATGCATTTACCCACGCCTTCCATTAATAAGAGAGGAAAAATATCATTTAGTGTTGTATTTGACTCGTATAATGTTCGTTAAATGTTTATTTTCTTTTACAAAATAAGTGTGTTTAGCAGCATACAAAAAGACTAATTATTTACACTTGCCCCTTTGAACTTTCGTATAATCCAAATGTAAAATTGAACCAAAGGTTACACTTGCCCCATACCCATGGGGCAAGTGTAACCTAAGTACCGCGAAAAAAAAAAAATCGCAGTACATAAATGGAGACAGGAATCTGGTTGTATGGTGGAAGATCCTTTAAATGACGTCTATTTAGTAAGCTGGCTCAATATGAACATGATTGCGTAAAAAGTTTTCTTGATAAATCATTTCAAAGAGGAGCTATTGAAAATCGCGGTTCCACTTACCCCGGTGTACCTTACTTTAAGCTTTGCAGATGATCAAGTAGTAATTGCACAGGACTATGATGACCTAGAGTACATGACACGAAAACTGATAGAGGAATACGAGAAATGGGGTTTGGAAGTAAATCTAACTAAAACAGAATATATGACTATAGGAGGTGAACAGCAAACTCTGAAATTGAATGACGGACAAGAAATAAAAGAATGTACTGAATACAAATATTTGGGCATGAAAATCTCACGTGAGGGAATCCTAGACGAAGCAATTAAAGACCGGAATATACAGGGACGCAAGGCAATATCCCTACTAAATGGTGTAAAGTGGAACCAAAAT